CTCATGAGATTATGGGGCCTAAACCATTCCAACACTTTTAAACCTATCTAGGTTCTTTGTACTCACTCACAAACAGGAGTCTACAGAACCACTCTCAGTTTCAGATGCTTTTCTGAGAATGGTCTGCTGAACTTTCCAGCATATGTATACCTGCTGATGTTTGGAGGGTTCTCCTCTTCTAGGGTCCTGATGATGCCCTGCTGTCTTCCTTCTGCATCTTTGTGCACAGATAAGTGGGAAGTCACAACCAACCAACAGCCCCATGGCCCATTTGAAAAAAATAAAACAAAAAGGAGTGGTCAGAAAAGAATGGTTATTACACCAAGATATGGGTATAAAGCTTAGATGCAAAATTGTGACAATCTTACTTAGAATATTTCAAATAAACACAGATGCAAGCTAATAATGATTTAAGAGTATGTAAAAAGCTAAAACACACACAAATATCAATGTTTTCTTTCTCTTTGTCATCTATAAGCTTTTCGTTTATTTAATTTATTTTTATATGTTGTGGGTTTTTTTAAATATATGTTGTGTTCAGATATATACAAGCAGATAAGTTTAAGGCTTTTATTTTTTATACATAATTAAATTCACATATAATATTGAATTTAATATAATAAACTATAATAATTTTTTGCTCAGAAGATAAAATATAGTCCAGTGAAATAGTTTACATCCTTTTGTTCATATTGAGATTTTGAAATCCAGTGTATACTTTACACTTAACAGCATATTTCAATCTAGATGCTTTTTTTTTTTTTTTAAAGATGACAGGTAAGGGGATCTTAACCCTTGACTTGGTGTTGTCAGCGTCACACTCTCCCAAGTGAACCAACCAGCCATCCCTATATAAGGATCTGAAGCCACGGCCTTGGTGTTATCAGCACCGCACTCTCCCAATTGAGCCACGGGCCGGCCCTTCCATCAGAAATATTGATCTGCATTTGGATTTCATAAAATTTACAGTTGAAGGGCCGGCCCGGTGGCGCACTCCTACAGTGCGCCGCTTGGGAAGCGCGGCG